TGGTCTATAGTTCTCCATTTTCATAACATCACCTTTTTTACGCAGTGACTTGCACTGAATTTTTTACATGCTTAGCATTGTATAGTATAACATTTATTTACTAATACAAAATAAAACAAGAAATACAAAATAACAGATATATAAAACAAAACTAAGGTTTAAATATAGGATATTTGACAGCAATTTAGACAAAATCCAGGAGTATCGGGACATGTTTTGCATTCGTAAATTGTATCTTTACGGATATTTCGTTCGCTGCAAGTTTTACAGCTTTTACTCCTAACTTTTTCCTTTAGATCTTTTACCTCTCGTTTTGTTACTAGGTGATCTTTTGTTATATGTTTGGTCTCAGAATTATTAATTTTCAAAAGTGATCTAACGAGTTCGAAACGAAACTCGTAAAGATCAATCGGATTTCCAGAATACTTTTTGTATAGATGTAGGCAATTATATCCATCATCTGCATAATATGGACCCCGTTATGCAACAAGGAACCAACCAACATTACCAAAGTTTTGAGAAAAATTAGAATAATGTTTAGATTGTTTCATGAAATTATTTAGGCATAAAAAAATGATTGACGACAATAAAATAAACACTTTTATTACAATAAAATGGTATTAATGATATTAGTAAAATACATAAGTACAATATGAACTCCTAAGGTAGAAAAAAATCACTTGGTTCTTTGTTGCTAAATGTAATATTAAATATCCACGTCTGGTTCGAAATCTATATCTCCATTAAATCCATCTATATCCTCTATTATAGAATTGTCTGCCGTTAGATTTGTATAAAAGCTGTGGTGTGCTGACGGTATTAAATGAAGATAACTTTGTACGTCTCTCAACTTTGCGTCTGCAACTGGTTTTCCCTCAGGCCATAATGGTTCTAAAAACGTGTTGTACTGTGGTCCGGTTGAAGCTTGTCTTCCTGCTACTTTCCGTATATTAATTTCTTGGTAATCGTCATTGTCTAGGTAAGTCGTCTTCAAAAAAATATTATAAGGCTTATCTTTAAATAATTTAACTTCTTTGGTTCGTAACCAACTTATCTTCTCGTTCGTAATACTTTTTTTTCTGTTTGTGATTTGTTTTTCTAATTTTGAGGTACTGAGAAAATCTTCTTTTACCATCATATTTACATTAATAGGTCGCTTTTGTCTACAAGTTCTCATTATATTGCTGTATTCTTCAGGTGAAAATATATTATTTTGCTTTTTAAGAGCACATTCGACATCTCCAAAATCACTATCATTCGGCAGAAACGTATGACCTGGAACAAGGAACCTCAGCCTAATAGTCTTTAAATGCTGTGATTCCTCCAAAAGACATTTTAACAAAAGTACTATTTTAATGTTTCTGTTTTGTCCACCGCAAGAGTCACTCCACAGAATAATATGCTGAACTTTATCGCTTATGTTAGCGAGAATGTATTTTCTTAGGCAAGATCCCACTTCTTGGGCTCCACGGCCTGCCTGTCCTTCTAGCCATAAATTAAATGTTGATTTTTTCTGTTTACCTGCATAAATTCCACAATTATATACCCATAACTGTCTTTTGTAAAATATAATATTTGAAGATATGCGAGGTAAAGGAAGCGTTTTTTCTAAATCGAAGGTCAGAGTTTCTGTTTGCTCGTCTTCTATTGCCTTGGCCAAGTCAATATTCATTTGTTTTCTTCCTAATTCTGCCTCTTCTACATGTAATTCGTGTTGTCTAACAATTTCCCGTTTTTCATCGTCGTTAATACTTTGTATCTTCACTTTAAATGCATCACATTTATTGCAAGTATCCTTTTTTGGCTTTTTTAGCCTCAAGTTAAAATCTCTCAAAAAAACTTTTTTAAAAGATGAAAAACTTACAGGTTTATCACTTTTTGGTTTGTAAAGATCATACATTATCGGTAAAGTAGTTCCTTCCTGCAAAAATTCTTGATCCATCTTCCGTGCTCTACAGTAATGGGATACATAGCGTGGAAATTGATTTATATGATTAAATATAATATTTTTTTCATCTGCTGAAATCTTGTTGTGTCCACCGCGAACACCTCGTTTGTCAAGTGTAGACAAATTTCTTACTTTTTGTAGAGCAGTATTTATACGTTTAGTTGACACTTGCAAAGTATTCGTATACATATTTCTACAAACTATAACCTTATTTATGAAATATTTCCTTGAGAACTGTCGTGTTGCAGGATTTATCGCATTTGAATTTTTTCTCTGAGCAAAATGTTCTCTAACGGATGTTGATATAAATGTTGTTTGTAGATTATAATCCGCTAAGTTCCAGTAATGTTCGAAAAACTGTTGGAGATCATCAGCAGAAAATTTTTCATGGCATCTTGCAGCACATGAGCACACAAATTTGATAAATGCTTTTGACTTAACAAGTTTTCCTCGAGCGGAGTAATACTCCATATTACTGTTCGTTTTCCTTTTTCTTTCCTTTCTGTCTTGTTCAGCATATTTTTTCTTTCTTCCTTTTTTGGACGACCCGTGAAAGATACATCTGCAGTTAAATTAGTTTCTGCTTCATCATTAGGGTTCGAGTTATGGTCTGAAGGTTGTCCTAAACTTTCGTCGGATGAGACGTCGCTGTAGGTAGGTTGGAAATCTTTATCCTTGACGGAATCATCCGAGTCTTCGTCGTAACTGTTACCGTTAATAATCGATATATCATCATGTTTATGGGAATCACTATTGCTGTTACTTGGTCCCTGATTTTCTTTGCTGCTATTTTGCCAGTCCTGAAAAAGAATTTTGCAATAAGGAACCAACTTACATATTCGGAAAAAAATCAAAATTAAATAAAAAACTATAAATAAGCAGGACTGATTATGCTAAAAATTGGCAAATAACATGCTATTAAATAAAAATACCTAATAATATAGTCATAGGACAAAATTTTAGAGGTCTTTTAAGGTTAGAAGTAAAAAAAATATAAATTAATAAACCTACCTCTTGCAAATTGGAAATACAAGCTTCAGTGGAAGACGTTGGTATCAGCCTTACATTATTCATGATTTTTTGCACCCGTTGCGAAAGAAATCTCTCGCTTTGAAGCATTTTCAAAGTTATTTTTCTGGCACTCAACGATAATACACAGCTGGGAAAGTAAATCTGCAACATGGAACCAACTTTCGTAGGTTACAGATTTCTGCAACAAAGAACCAAAGTTACTTGGTTCGAATTAGAAACCTGTACAACCGAATTTACAAATTTGCAATATGGTTCTATCGTCCCCTAGATGTCGCCTATGTCCAAAATCAGTTGGTTCCTTGTTGCAAAACCTAAATAATATTATTTGGAGTCGGTGGGAATCAATAACTCGATTTTTGATAAAATGTTAGTTGGTTCCTTGTTGCATAACGGGGTCCATATGTATAAATATTTTTGTTGGTCATTGTACAGTTTTTCGTTGACACGTATAATAGGCAAGCATCTGGTCTTTTCGGTCAATACCAGACATATTTTTTATTATATCTTATTGCTATGGTTTCATTACATGCTGACCTTTTCTTGTTGTAACTTGTTGTAAGGTGTTTTGACATTCTGGTGTTATATAGTAAACGTCTCTCTTATCCTTTGATTGGCCAACTAAATACCCCTTATCGGCAACGGATAATTGTTGCACCTTTATAAAGTTTTTCTTGTTTTACTTCTGCAGGATTATTTGATATGTACCTTTCCACCTGAATCGTCAAACATTCCAGAATAAACTAAACATTTTAAAATTAGACCATTTGGTTCGGTCAACATATACAATTTGATTTCATATTTATGCTTTTTTGTTTTGTAAGTTTTGTAACTTTTTCCATTCTCTTATTAAAAAAGTTTATCGCCGATCTAATTTTATATATTTTGTCTTCAGGTACTTGTTCTCTTCTCTTCTGGATTTTTACTAAAATGCATATAACGCAGTATGACCATAAATGTGTTCCGGCCCATAAAAGTAGAAAAAATTGCATTAGCAAAAAGAGTATCTTTCTTTTTCCAATATGTTTTCAATTAAATACTGTTAAATGAATTATTGTACTGTGAAATAAATTACTAATCTTTACACGGTTACTCACCCTATAAAATAATATGCATTTGCAGAATCTTATGTACTTTTACTAATATTTACGATTATTACAAAGTCATAAGAGATAGACACCCTGTCGGGACAAAAAGTCGTGAGTCGGAGAACCAAGAACAAAATTAGAGAATTGATACCCCTAGTTACCTGCCTTTGAAATATAAAAGGCCCTGTTGTATCGCCAGTGAAATAATCCAAAATCGGAATCAATAAAAGTCTGACCGCGCGAGAACGTCGTCGGCGTCTAGCTAACGTTTTGTAGCGACGCGCCAGCGCGTTATCGGCAAGGAACGTGTTAAAATTAATAATTGAAACGAATCAATCAAATAGCGTGTATGCTGATTCAATATCGGTGACTCTCCCGATGGCACGGAAAGTATCTCAACAGTGTTCAATTATTGTGATATCTAAGTATACATGATGAGTGAATGGTTCACAGGGGATGTGGGAACTGAATAAAAATTTAGTAGTAATAAAAATTCGGATTGCAGTACCGAGGATCATGAATAATAAAAATACTGAATTTTAATTCATTACATCTAACAATAAAATCACTGAAATTTGTGTTTTTAACATTTCCCACAAAATTTATTTTAATATCACTACAGCTGTTTCGGCTGTATGAAGTCTAAATTACCGACTAAAGACAAACAGTTCTCCCCTCCTCAACTTATTCAGTTAAAGACTATAAAGTGTAAAGACATACCAAGAATAGATCACTTGTAAAAAGTACTCTGCAGAAACAGCTGTAGTAATAATAATTTAAAATAAATTTTGTGAAAGTTTTGAAAACACAATTTTCAGTGTTTTTATTGTTAGGTAAAATGAATTTCCATCAAGTAGCGGTCGAATCCTACACTTATTTAATTCATTACTTATTTTTATGTTGATTTTATATTAATTCTAATTAGTCTTATTTACCTTCAAGTCTTTTTAAATAAACTGCATCTTCTTCTTCCTTGTCGTCTTCGATAGTGTCGTCAATAGCTTCAATTTTTTCCAAATACTTGAAATGTAATTCAAGTAACCGGTCTACTTTCTCGTGGTCGTTTTCTGTAAATTTACTTACTAATCTTTGTCTTTGGGAGCCCCTGCAGTTTCTCAACATCGAAGCTATTATAGAACACACATGCTCTTCGTGTTCTTCAGTAGACAATACTTTTCTTCTGTTCTTCTTAGGTGTCTTCATGAATAATGGAAAGATAGTACGGAGACCAAGAATATCTACAAATTTATTACAGTTGTCTTTACCTTGAGGTCCTGACATAGCGTAATCTAATACTTTTAGGGAGCCATTTCTGGAGGTCTTCTTTTCTCTTAACATCAGATTCATTAGCTGTAAGCCTATAAAATTTGTAAAATTTAAAATACTTACTGAGGTATTATAGAGAAATAAAATACAAAAGTTTAGGTATGATTGAAATACTGAAGAAAAAAGGAACCTGAAATGGAGAAGCAATCTGCTATCACAACTGCAGTTTCTGTTCTAGTAAGGCTAGCCGCACACACATCGAATTTGGACGGTCGATAAAAGTTCGACCGAACTTTTATCGATGATGCGTTCCGCGCACACTACACGATTTTATTCGATGACGTTTGTTAGTCATCAAGAACTTGCATTGAGTGATGGACCCCTTTAAGACTCGTGTTGCTGCTATGTGGTTGTTACATCGTCGCAGACGCCAAAAAAGAGCTTTATGGGTTCATCCAATTAATGAAAAAAGGCCAGAAGCAGGATTATTTCACACCCTATATGAGGTGCTCCGTCAAGACGAGGAAAAATTTTTTAATTACTTTAGAATGTCTACTTCAAGTTTTGATGAACTTCACGAAAAGCTACAGAATGTTCTTACCCACCAAAACACGAAGATGAGAAGCTGCATATCATCACAAGAAAGACTTGCAGTTACACTGAGGTAGGTAACTAAAATCTATTTTTACTTGTGTGCCAAATTTTATTAGTTTTTGTCAAAATTTAAATATACCTCACAAAAACTGAAATCCATTAAATATGTTGAAAATTGTTGGATTTTACCAAGTATTAAAATAATAAAAGTTGCATAATAATTGTAATACGAGTAGATACCTAATATTTTGAAGATAGTAGGCTCTAAAACAACAAAATATGGTAGACAGTTTTCAAGATGTAACAGGAATATGTATCTGAAAAAATTATACTGTTTTACATCTTGCAAATTTTCTGTACCTTTTATCAGTTTTTACGAAATTCTTATATTGAATACGATATTGAATTATCATTGAAATTATGAAGGGGATGTTCAAATTAAAACTAATGTTTTAGCAGTGCAAAAGGTGTATTTTTACAATAGTCTGTACAATATCTTTGTTAATGACAAAATCTTTGAAATTTTTTTAGTTGTTAAACGTAAATATTTCTGAACAATCAGAAAAGGAACTTTGGCTGCTAGTATTGGTTAATGGAGTATTTGTGGGCGTTATTTTGCTGAAACCTTCATAATATTCGCAAGCCGATCCTGGAGATTGGAGAGATGTGGAAGCGGAATTGTTGGCATCGCTGTTAACCGGGTTTTTTGAATTTGTTTGAGTGTACTGAGGAAGTGGTTGCTCTAAAGTAGGTTTTGTAGTTGGAGATTTGTACGATTGTGATAGAGGAAGTGGATTATGTGGGTAGGTCTGTTGAGCATGGTATCCGGCGAATGGATGCTGGTTATGAGAAAAGGGTATGGGCTGTTGCTGGTGAGGGAATGGCATGGGCGGTTGCTGATGGGAGTACGATATGGATTGTGGGTTATTAGGGAGAGTCAAAGGTGGTTGTTGTTGTGGATATAAGGGATGTAATGGACGCTGGACCATTTTCTTCTTTTCTTTGATTTGAAAAATTGATTCATAGACGGACATTTGGAATTGCAGGACTTCATCGTCATCCATAGTTTTTAAATGTGGAATGATACCCTGGAAAAACGACATATGGCTGTCCGATTTCTCTGGCTGACTCAGAGCTTTCAACATTGCCAGTTCCACTTCGTCTGGTTTCCTCCGTTTCCTGTTTCTTATTCTTGTAATTTCAGGAACGTCAACTTCCTTATTTACTTCCCGTCTTGCATTTGCTTCTGCAGGCTGAATGTCATAAAGCTCAGTGTTGTTATTATCCATATTGTCCATTGGCATTGTATCATCCAAGCTTTCAGCTGTTTCTCGGGAGTGGTAACATTTTTGTAAGAACTGCATTTGGTCACTGAATATATATTTTTTGATTTTCGGAGCTCCTGCTCCACTTTTTTTACAGCTTTTTAATTTTCTTTGGGATTTGGTAAATGCATCTCTGAGGTTGGTCCATCTCCTGGAGACTTCTTTACCTGCAAAACCACAAAAAATATTAGGTAAAACCGAGAAATCTTATAAAATCGCATGTATGTCTGTCTGTCTGCTTGATAGTTCGGATTTAACCTCACACTTATCAACTACATTATTGTAACAAACATAGAACAAAGTAAATTCCCTCAAATTATGTATATCTTTTTTACAGGTACTTTGCAAGTGGGTCTACATTTGCAGATTTACACTATTCATATAGAATGGGCGAAAGAACTGTAGCAAGTACAGTAAAGGAAGTAAGCAGGTCTATTTGGAATATCATTAAGGAAGAGTGTATGCCCAAACTTACGAAGGAAAAGTGGGAATCTACGGCTTCAGGTTTTTTTAAAAAAGCTCAATTTCCTCATTGTTTAGGAGCTGTTGATGGGAAACATATTCGGATTATTTGCCCAGCACGAAGTGGTTCTATGTTCTTTAATTACAAAGAGTATTATTCTGTTGTTTTAATGTCTGTAGTTGACTCTAACTACAGGTTCTTGTACGTTCACGTTGGAAGCTACGGTAAGGAATGTGATTCATCCATTTTTAAGGACTCTACCCTTTGGAATAACGTCGAATCAAATACATTGGATCTACCGGAAGAGCAGTGTCTACCAGGAACAGATAATCCAAAGTTGCCATACTTTTTCATCGGCGATGAAGCATTTGGGCTGCACAAGCATTTGATGCGACCTTACGGGGGAACACACTTATCGCTACAGAAAAGAATTTTCAACTACAGATTGTGCAGAGCCAGGCGTTATGTGGAGTGTGCATTTGGAATCCTCACAAATAAGTGGCGAATCTTTCACAGGCCGCTTAATGTAGACCCAGATTTCGCAGTCGACATTATTAAAGCTTGTGTCGTCCTACATAACTTCATTCGCGATAGGGACGGATATTTGCCTGATGACATAAGTACAGTAATCGGCCTGGAAGATTTACCAAGAGGAGGTACAGGAAGAGGGGGTCTTCCGGCAAACAGTGCCAGAAACATATTGGGTGAATATTTTTTATCAGAAGTGGGAGCTGTTCCTTGGCAGATGAATAAGATTTGACATTATGTGTTATTTAGTACATAACAATGAGTTTTTGAAAGTGTTGAGAATTAGTAGTTATGATGAGTTCTTAATAGCCAATAGTCATGATGTGAATTAATACGTTTGTAGGAAGAAAATTGCTGTAAATATTATCCCTTTTATACACTCAACTAAACATTTCCAAAATACAATGTTTAAACTCAGCGACACACTAACTTTATTTTAACCACAAAATATAACCAAATTTCTATATATAAGGTTGATTATATGAGGTGAAATTATTTATATACTTTTATACCTATAGGGTGTTTTGTTTTTATTACTGTCAATATTATCTTTAATGTAAACTATTTAACAACAGACCATGTTTAAATCAAATGTTAAAACGTTATTAAATATGAATACAAAAACTACAATTATTAGCTTCTTACAATAAGAATTTGTCATACTTACCAAAATTGTTCTTCTCTTTGTCCTCTAGCTCTTCAAAATGTGGATTTAGTATGTTGCATACATCCCTCCAAGCATTTCTTGTCGCGTTTCTATCCCTATATATATCTAGGGTCTTGTCCCACAGAACAGGTCTTGCTTCGACCAACGAAATAAGTAATTCATTCTCAATATCCATAGTCAATGGTGGAGTACACAAAATCACAATAAAAAATGCAGGATTACGTAGCAATACGGAGCGACGTACCTTGAGCAGTATCCAAAAAACTCAACCTGTCGTCTGGTCGGTCGATAAAGATCGATGTGTGTGCGCGCGGTCATTTGATACTATACGCCTTGGAACGACGGCAACGACCACGGCAGCCGTGAATGCAGTGACATTCATCGATCGCCACACGACCATCACACGACATCGATGCCGTGCCGTTTGGCGATCGATGTGTGTGCTCGCTCACATTTGTTTCTTCGCGCCACCAAAGGAATTTGTTCGACCGAACTTTTATCGACCGTCCAAATTCGATGTGTGTGCGGCGAGCGTAATGAAGAAAATTTCCTAGGATCGAAGATTTTTCTGTTATTAAATAAGAGGAGAAGGAAGAAATACATATCTTCTTCTTTAGGTGCCGTGTCCGTATTAAGACGTTAGCCATCATCATGTTCACAATTTCACACAAAATAATTCTACTGTGGTACCACACCGTCGTCTAATATTACGCAGCCATGAAAGTTTCTTTCAACCAATCCATCTCATTTCTTCCACTTTTCCTTGTATTATAAGGCGAAGTAAATGGTATTTGGGTCCTCTGATTATATGGCCGAATATTCTGTTTTTCTTCTATTCATGATATTTGTAAGGAAGCGTTCTGAAATCATCACTTTAAGAATATCTTCTAATGCTTCTAATTTGTTAAGCATTGTGGTTTTTAATGACCATGTCTCACAACCAGATAATAGGATAGAGCGCACATATCATTTCATATATACATCGTAAAGGCAGATATGGAGGCGCCACCATTGACTCTAGAGCAGTGTGTACGTATGTAGTCGAACCCTTCCAAGTTTTTAGAGAATAATGATGATTTAGTTTAAAAATCTTGAAGACAGAAGAAGGAGATAGGCTTATGTATACGTTCTTACGACTGAGATATCTTATTGTTAGGTTTTGGAGATGGTTTAAAAAAAGAGGTGGTAGGAAGGTCTAAATAGTCATCGATAGAACATAAAGACGGTATTAGATTTTATTTCGATGCAGAGCACCAGCAAGCCCCTTATACGCATTTCAACCTCTTTAGGTCTCATCAGAGGGACATATGCAGTTGCCCTGAATTTAAACAAAATCTCTTCCGTCATAGGACAATAATTATAAAAATAATTCATCGATAGAAGTTTAAACATTATTATTTAAACGTCAGCAAGAGAGAGTTAGTTGCGTTAGTGCAAAATTTAGCAGTATAATTAGGCTTTTTACAAAAGAAAGATTTCAGTTTATCAATTGATATAAAGATTTGATGCGGAGTGTTTTCAGGGATTATGAGTATGGAAGTTTGTAGCGAAAAGTTTCAGAAATTATATAGGTCAAAGTCCGGAAGCTCATTGCCTGAGCATGGATTATCAGACGTACCCCATCTGACATAAGAAATGGACGTGATAGCAGATCCATTAAAGATAAGTATAAACAAATACGAAATTGAGCGATGCGGACACATTCACTGAGGTACGTTACTGTTGGACATATTGCGATTCTGGGTACCAAAATCGCAGACATTGGAAGGGCTAGAAAGTTATTAAGTGTACAGTGAATATATCAAGATTCAGTCGAGAAAAGGTTTTACTCCTGGACTATGAATACTTCTTCTTGTGAACTATAATTAAATACTCATTCATTTTACCTGTTCGGTAAATACATACTATCGATAAAGCAACCAAGACACGACCGCTCTCATAGAAGGCTAATTTGCGAATTGGAAAAATAATTAAAGCATTAATATCAAGTAAAATACAAACCTTCCCCTTTTAAAAATCGTTCTCTATTTGGAAATACCATCAATGCACTACATAAACAGTCAAATAAGTTTTCCATTAGTTCATGCTCTTCAGAACTGGTAGGATCGTGTCTTTTATAAAAGGCCAGTTGTTGCAATAAAGTATCAATTCCGTCCATGTCTCCCAATGCTAATCTGAAAACAATAATATACGAAAATTTTACAACAAAAATATCAGAACAGATGTCCGATTAACAATAATAACAATAACATAAAAAATAAAAGTAAATCGTACAGAAAGGAAAGCATGAAATGTAAGATGGTAGAAAGAAGCACTAGTTAGGTATTTTTTTCAGCTTTTTAAGTAACGGCTTCTATAACGATATTATTTTCTCCCGGTAATTTATTTCTTTTCATTTTCTTCAGTGCGTTATTTATTTCGTCGTGCGTTGATATATCAGGCATCAATTCCGATCCTTGGTTGACTAAACTTTTTCCCGAGTTTTCTAACTTTTCTTGTTAGTTGCTCATCATGATTATGTTGACTTCTGTATAGAAATCTTCTACTACCCTTAGTAATTCAACTCTGTTGGAGATATATTTTCATCTTTATCCTTTAATTTCATTATTTCTTTTTTACCATTTTTCAATTTTCTCCCGAGAACTTTGAGACTCTTGTTAGTTCCAATCCTTTGTTGGATTTGTTCACTTTTATGCTTTCAGTTGTCCATCCTAATATATTTTTGTATTCTTTTACTTATCTCTCTAAGTTCGTGATGTTTTTTGCTTTTATTACTTTGCATTTTTCTCCTCTCTTTCATTAATGCTTGTGTTTGGTGACTTATTATTTCGTTATACGATTTGTTTTGGCTTTCCTCTATAGTTTCTATTATCATGTCATTCAGGTTGTTGATATTTGTATTCTTGTTGCTTTCGAGAATGCTGTTGATGTGTTCTTCAAATGCATTTATATTATTGGGCTCTGTCCAGGTATGTGTAAATTTCCTTTTGATCATGTGATATTTCTCCTTCCCAAGGTCTATTTCTAACGACGCTTTCACCATTCTGTTCTCGCTCCCTGTTCAGGATTGTAATATCTTTAAAGATTTGCTTCTTATCAGTGATCATAAAACCAATCTCATTTTTATTTTTTCCTTTCGGGCTCTGCCATGTCCATCTCCGATGTTCTTTTTGGTAAAAGAATCTGTTCATTAGGAACATGTTTTTTTTTCAGCAGGAAACTAAGTAAAGTTTCACCGCGCTCGTTCCTGTTACCCAAACCAACTTTTCTCAGTGTTTGTCTCATCTGTCTTTCTCCCCGTTTTAGCGTTGAAGTCACCACATATTATGGTAAAGTGTGCTTTTGTATCGTTTAGAGTGTAAAACAAAAAAGTCTTATAATATTTTTTTGTAAAGTCAATCGTTTTCAAAAAAATTTTAATTTTAATTCATTTGATTACTGTCCACTAAAAAGCAAATACAGCCGGTAACGTTGCGCTCCTTGTTATACTTCGTTAATAACTGTGAATCAGCTATCATAAATCATCGATCTTTTTAGGCATAATATTATGTATTATGTGATAACTGATAACAGTGATAGAGAAAACTTTAAATATCTAATAATTACGGTTTGTATAGGTACTAGTTACATGGAAAATTATTATTACAATACAATGTTCGCACGGATACATGCATTTATTTGACGAAGCCAACTTAATAGCATAAGTATTTCAATAGTTCAATTTCATCCTGGTTGTCGTATGCTAACGATTTTAGATGTCCCCAAAAATAAAAATACATAATATTGCATTCCGGCATTCTAGGTGGCTACAGAAAGTGTCCACTTCTACCAATTCAACAACGAGGATAAGTTAGTGATATCGAGGAAATTTTTAATGAATGGTAAAATGTGCTGCGGCCCCGTCATGAAAAAATCACATTTCACAGAGTATTTGTAAAGGTATATCTTCAATAAGTCATAATGCCAGCCCATAAATTTATTTTTTTTAATTTGTATAACATATTATAGCATACGAGTTTTCGTTATTCCACACTTGTGGAAGTTAACACACAATTTCTAAAAAAAACAAGCTTCATCTGCACACAACACTGTGCACGGAAATTTACTCTGGAGATTTTATTTTGAAACCATCTACAAAACCTTAATCTTCGAGGTAAATCGCTTTGGTGTAAATCTTGTACTCGTTGGTAATGGTAAGGATGTAATAGTTGTTCTGTAAATGTCTTATGACTCTTATGAGCAATGTTTTTAGAAATACCAAAGATTCTAGTCACAGTTCATACCCCTCACCTGGTCAATGAATAACTCTTAAGCAGTTAAGTTTGCGTTATGTTTCTATCTGTTTTTAAACTTTCGTTGACTGTTGTTATTTTTTTATTGTAAATTTAGTATTTTTCAGTTAAAAAACATGTTAAAGAATAAAACAGCCTTTGTTTTAAAATAGTTTCAGTCTTTGTTTTTAAAGATATCAGGAAAACTAAAAAAAGTATGCATAAAACATGGCACTACGACATGAATTCAATTTAAATGATTTCGATTTTGTATCTTGTCCTCCCTACAGGGTGTCTCAAACTTAACATAAGAAACACATTTTTTTTTCTTTCATCCAGTATAAGCATAAAATAGTCCACTGTAAATACCATTGTAGGCCCACTGTAAATACCAAAGAAAAAGTCTAAAATAATAAATCCATTTACGAGAAAATCAACTATCAAAATAAGCATAATTTTTGCAAAACTTTTGTGGTTAAATTTATTTGGATATCAAAAATTAAGAAAACGGGAATAATCATTGTTGTAAGAACACTAAATATTTAACTTACCTATTTTTTTCGTTATTTTGTAATAATATAGATAAAATTTCACAAACATAGAGCTTATTGGGATCAAAAGGAGACTTCAATTTCAGCCTTTTCAGTAACCAAGCTAAAAGTCCCTGTTTTGTGGCTTCGTTTATTATTTCTGAGCTCAATTCAGTCAAATTTTCAATTATAGATAACGTATTATGAACACCATCTGCTTCTTCTTTTACAGTTTCATCAAGACGTTCTAAATTTTGAACTAATAAGGCAATGATTTGATGATCTAGTAAAGATTCTATTAAAGCCTCCGTACCTTCTTCTGACTCATTGAGACTATCCACATCAGTAAGTTCTTGGAGGAGTTCTACGGTGGCAACCTATAAAAACCATAATATTTTCACCAAAAAGCAAATATACAAGAGAAAAGACAAAAGGGCCCTAAATATAACTACAAGAAAATTAAAATGAATAAAAAACTAAAAGTAAACCATTAAAAAAGGAGTTTAAGAAACAAGCATCTCATCCCGTGACTCACGAAAAACTAACGGTTTGATTTTTTATAATTATTTGAAGAAGTCGTCACTCAGTGTTTGTTGTGATATTGTGAAAAAGCTGCGTATCATATCAAAAAATGTTCTACGGATAAAATAATCTAAACACTACAATATTTAAAACTATACTTATGAATTAAAATTGATCAATAAACAAAAAAGTTATTACAAATTTATTAATTGTTATTATTATTTTTTTAATGGATAATATGAAACTTTCCCAAATTCCGAATTTCTTCTTTTAAATTATGTGTTACAAGATGGGCTTGAACGATACAGTAGTTTTTTTTTAATTTTAATTGTTAATCCGGATTTTATATAACAAAAGACCATTTTCAAATAGCCAGTTCTTGCGGAGTGAGTAACTATCCATATTGATTGCATTTCCTTCGTAAGGCCTCAAAATATCTTGAGTTTAAAAAAGTAAGAATATTTTGAAATGTACTCAATAATTTTTACTTGATAAATAATAACATTTTTTGTATTATGAAGAAGTAAAAAAAGATGGTACTGTAGGCGGTACAGTAGACTAGCTTGAAGCTTCATACTATGTTTCCTGTATTTTTTATATTTAAATATTTTTAAAATTGAATAAAGTAATTTTATTATTTACATTTTAAACAAATTATATTGTATTTAAATAATTCAATAATTTATGATGTTTGCTCCTAATGCCACCTGTTAAAGTATTAACAAAGCATACATTTACGGTTTACTTCTGATAGACCTGTCAAATTCAGACAAAATATTAAATTAACAATAGAATATAAATAAATATCATTTGATAATCAACTTAATTGTTATATAAACTAAATAATATGTATGGAAATAATTGTATTATTTTACTCACTGATACCTAACAAGAACAATCTGCATGTTAAATACAAATAAAAAATCGCCAAGTGTAGAGATCTGATATTACAAATAAGGAGACAACTGAAAATGGAAAGTACTCAGATGATACCTATTATTCTCTCTACTACTGTAGTTATTCCGAAGAGCGTTTTAGAGAACACCTGTCATAATGAACATCTATTTAAGACCATACAAAAAGCAGTACTGCTCTCAACATCTAGATGCATAGAAAAATTTTTGGGGGATACTCCGACATACCAAGGCACCTAGGGCTCGATAACACGAAAAGATCCTACCAGAGCTCGATCCTTTTGATACCATAGGTATCTGGGATGAGTGAGCTTTCCCCTTAGAGGGAGTGTGAGCCAGATAGGCAAATCTGGAACTGAATGAGATAATTTCTTCTAGTTGTCTTGTTATTTAACACATTATCTGCTGTATTGGTCTATATGACCAAGAAAAAAATTGTTCTGTATGCCAATGAAGTATATTTAATTAAGACACTGGCAGATATGATGCAATCCATCACATAGATTGAAACAACAACACAGTCACATTAAAATAGTCCTCGCTGACACTCAGAGCTGCTATTTCTGGGTCACATATACCAAGATGGCAGGCAATGTGTTAATGTTAAGAAAAATACACAATTTATCTAATGTTAAGAAAGAGAAAAATGGGTATTATATTAATAACTACTTATATTATCCCTGTTAATACAAGTCTGTAGTCATTCCTTTTTATTCCTGAAGTACATATTGTTCTATAGGCATCTAGCTTTTTTGTTTTAACCAAACTTATCACCAAAGTGTTATCTTTCACATTATAATTAATTGACATCTCAAGTTGGTGAATTTTTATTTTATTTTTTTTATTTTTACGCACAACAGGCCGTTAAGGCCTAGGGCAATTTTTGTAAACATAATCCTAATATTAACTAATTACAATTATTTTAAACAAAACTTTAACTTAAATATGTATATACAACATTCTTAACTACTCTGAAGGACCTGGTGGACAATATTTCTCCATTCGCTTTTATTTTGTGCTTTTCTTTTCCAGTCCCTCACCTTCACGTGTTTAAGGTCTTACTCCACTTTATTAATCCACCTCGTTCTGGGTCTACCTCTTCTTTTGGGACCGATTAGTTTTCTGGTTATTACTAGTCTCGGCATTCTTTTTTCTTCCATTCTTTCCACATGTCCCAACCATCTGATTCTTTGTGACTTGACGAACTTGGTAATGGTAGGTTCTTTGTATAAAGCCATTAATTCATTATTGGTTCTTCTCTCCCAACCATCTTCTGTCTTCCGTCCTCCGAATATGCGTCTCAGTATTTTCCTTTCCCATCTTTCCAGAGTATCCTCTTCCTTCTTATTAAATATCCATGTCTCACCGGCATATGTTACTGTGGGTTGAATTACTGTTTTATATATTCCGAGTTTACCTTGTCTAGAAACGTATTTTGAGTTCAGTAGGGCTCTTAAACTACCTAATTTATTATTCCCTTTTGCTATTCTGGCTTCCAGCTCCCATTCCTCTTTTCCATTTTCATCGAAAACTACACCCAGGTATTCAAATTTGTCCACTCTTTTAAAACTATAGCTTTTACCACTTACAGACCTCACACTAAAGTCTTCTTTTTTCGCTTCTGTTCCTCCCATGATCATATATTTGGTTTTGTCTTCATTTAGTTCCAATCCGAATTTTTGTGCTTCTTCGATGATTTTCTTTACAACTCTTCTTAATTCTTTCTCGATTTTTGCTAGGATCGTTAAATAGTCAGCAAATGCCAAGCATTGGTGCTCATTTTTCATGATTGTTTCTTCCACCTTCATGTTGCTTTTTCTAATTACAGTTTCTAACACTAAGTTGAATAATGTAGTGGATAAAGGATCTCCGTGTCTCAAGCCTTTTGCAACCGTAAATTGATCTGATATGTGACCCTGCCACATAATTTCACACTTAGAGTTATTTTATGTCATTTTTACTAGTCGGATCAATTTCTTTGGTATACCCAAATGTTCCATTGCTCGATACATTTTGACTCTATCGACTCTATCATATGCTTGTCTAAAATCCACAAACAAAACATGCAGGGGAACTTTACCTTCATAACAAGTCATTTGTATCTCCTTTAATGAGAAGTTTCGTCTACAGTAGATCTGTCCTTTCTAAAGCTAGCCTGATACTCATGTAGGATTCTTTCTGTGTAGCAATTTAGTTTATTTCTCAATATTCTTGACAAGATTTTGTATACCGTGTCTAGTAAGGCTATACCTCTATAGTTGTCACACTTTAGTTTGTCTCCTTTTTTATGCATAGGGCATATGTGGGCTAATGATGTAGATATTCAGATGATTTCAATACTCGGATTCAACATATTCAGATGATCTAAATACTCGGATTAAAATTAATTCAGGGAGAACGAGAGAAGTGTGTGATATGGGTGAAGTCAGAGTAGAGCTGCATATACGGTGCTTACTATGAACATTGCAGTTGGCAAAGGCGAAAAAGGACAAAGTTAAAGATGGGATAACCGTTTTGGTGTAACAGTGAACTTAATTAGGATATATTATGATCATGATTAATTATTTCATAAACAATAAATATCAAGCCCTAATAGGAAAAAGGTATAGTTGTTATTGTTTAAAAAATTTTAAAAATTATTATATACCAGTTTTTTATTTAGACTTTTGATTTATTATATTGTTAATATTTTACTTTTTACTAAATATTTTCTTTAAAACCTGATTATTTTTGTTTCTAATAAATAATTGCACCAAGCAGTTCTATCATAACATTAACAATTATTAAATTCATATAATAGTTCAGGAAGGGTGATGGGTGAGTAGTATTCTTATTCGGGTCTGTAACCGAAATCTACATCGACTGTGAATTCAACATAAGATATCCGAGTAGTATTCGCATTTGTATTTGTATCATCAAAAAATAATCGGATTAATCCGAGTAATTGAATATTCAGATTCAACGATTATTTTAATTCAAATTCAGACATCACTAATGTGGGCTTCATACCACTCCGATGGCATTATTTCCTATTCCCATACTTGCACTAGTAGCTGATATATTTTTCTTTGTAGTTGTTCTCCACCAAACTTGATCATTTCTATGCATATGTCACTTTTACCTGGACTTCTGTTATTTTTTATTTCATGTATTGCTGTCACCACCTCCTCCTCTGTAGGCTGCCTTTCAACTGTCGCATCTTCTCCAACCGTCCAGTTGTCTACTGCTTTGTGGTCCACCTCACCATTTAATAGTTCTTCAAAATGTTTTTTCCATTCCGTGATTATTTCTGCCGGATCGCTAATTAAATTTCCGTCTTTACCTTTCATATAACTACAGTGGCTTTGGTAACCTTTTCCCATCTTTTTAACTTCTTGATAGAATGACCTCACCTTTTTGTTTTTAAACTTCTCTTCTATCTCTTTTAATTTCAACTCATTGTGGTATCTCTTTTTCCTTCTACACAGATTTTCAATCTTTCTCAAATTATTGTATATTCTTTTTACACTCTCTATTATCTGTTAATATTGGTTGTCTGATCTTTTTCTTTTCCTTTGCTATCACCTGACACTCTTCGTCAAACCAATCTTTATTTGTACTTCTCTTGGAATTGCACTTTACTATTTTCTCGCTAGCTTCTCCTACAGCAGATTTAATTTGTTCCCAGGCTTGATCTGTCTGTAAATTTCGGTCACATTGTTGTAGAATTTTATTTATTTCTTCTTCGTATTTAGTTTTTATTTCTACTTCCTTAAGTTTTTCAATATTGTACTTTCTCTTCGTTTTATTGTTCGATTTCTCTTTTTCTTCCAGCCTCGTCCAACATGTGACTTTAACAAGGTAATGGTCCGAGTCGATTTCAGCTCCTCTTATACTTCTTACCTTCTAAATGATATTTGTATATTTACTTTCAATCATAACATGATCTACTTGATTCACCGTCCTTCCATCAGGGCAGACCCACGTACCTTTGTATATGTCTTTTCGTTTTAGTTGTGTGCTTCTCACCACCATGTTTTTCTCCATGGCAAATCCAATAGGTCTTTGACCATTATCGTTTGTTACTTCGTGTTTACTATAGTTACCAGTTACTGCAGTGTACAGAGGTTCTTTTCCCACTTTAGTATTAGAATCACCCATTCTTATTTTTACATCACGTTTAGGTAAGCGCTCATGTTCATCATTTAGCTGCTCATAGTAAAGATCTTTTATTTCGTCGTCAGTGTCTTCTGACGGTGCATAAATATTGATTATACTCCAATTCCTTTTCTTACTTTTAATTCGTATTGAACACATTCTATCAGAGATAGGATTAAAAGCTATCAATTTGTCCTTAATACATTCAGTTACTAAAAAACCAGTTCCAAGCATTCTATCTTTACCTCCACTTTTGAAGAGAACCATATCTTCTATATCAGTTATTTCCGATCCTAATTGTTTTGTCTCTTGAAGAGCCATTAAGTAAATCTATTTTATACTTCCTTGCCTCATTCATTAGTTCTTTTAGCGCACCTTCATAAAAGGTTCCTCTGCCATTTCATGTAGCTAAATGTATCTTGTCTTTCTTCGGCTTTACCGTTGTATTCCTGTCTTGTTTTGTTTCGTTTTCATAGTTGGTAATCCTTTTCTTCGCATTGTTCATCTTCATTTCTTTCCGGTAAATTTTACTGGTTCATTATTCCTTTCCATTATATCATCACTTTTATTATAATAAAATCTTAAATTATGCTGAATGTTTGTATTCATACTACTTACAAACTTTCTTATAATTTATTGCAAATAAAAGATTTCAATATTTTGGTATTATTTCCAGTGTATGAAACTGTTAAATTTTAGCCTTCCCTTCCTCTTCCTTGCTGGAACTTGCTACTACATTGTTCTTAGCTTACGATTTTCATTTGAGTTTAACAATAGATTTTAATCTAAAATAATTATACATAAATAAACATATTTTTTTTCTAATAATACTTACAGCTATATCTGTATTGTCATGGGACAGCAATTCCAGTAAACTGGGTATAACTTGAAGTTTGACTAACAATGGATAATAATCAGGTGCAGTTGCCAATATTCGCATTTCTTGAAGAATTTCATGCAATTCTACTTCACTTTCCAAAAACTTCTCAGGAGAATCTGGAAATTTAATCCTCATCTCTCTGTTTTTTAAGCTTCTCTTTTCAAAATTTAGTACAATCTTCTTCAGAGCTGTTTCATCAATAATTTCACCCTAGAAGAACAAATACCTTAGGGAACAATACAATATTTTGCAGCTACTAAAATCTTTTTCATAGACAAGGTTAAGATAAAATAAACAAATTCAGAAAACATAATACCTGCATTGTATTGTTGTTGCAGATGCTTATCAATAAGATTTGCACAAGGTACAACATAATATCAAACACACATTAAATTATATCAGATATACTTCAATATATTCAAAATGTATATTACATAGAAAGTTAACTATTACCTGAGTTTGTTCTGTTTCAACAAACTTAAGAATTTCTGCTCTCTCTTCTTCACTTATGTGATCCAAAGGTTGTGTTGATGGTGTAGGAGATATAGGTCTAGCCATTCTACTAGCTTTAGCTCTGGCTATTCTTCTCATTTTTCTGGTTCTTTCGGCCTCATCGTCATCCTCATCAACATGTACTGGTCTTTTTAGAGCTTGAGGAGGCTAAAAAATATATTTATTATAAGTAGGTCCTCTACAAAGAAGTTTAAATTTGTAATAAATTCCACAAGAGAGCAGTTTCAGAAATTATTTATAATAAAGGTTCTTAAAATTTATATAAAAACCTTACCTTATAATCCAACAGTTCTTCTACATCCATTTTTGCGACTTAAAAAATAATTAAGCAACTTCCCAAACAAATTGTACTTTACTGTGACCAAAGAATATAGACGCTTAAGCGTCTATATCTATATTCTTTGCTGTGACTTAGGTAGGTTAAAAACAATAAACGTCATGTCAGTTCCTGTCGTTTAGTCTTCTCGTTCTTCTCTTTAACTTATTTTATTGATACTAATATACCTCCACCAACCAGTTAAAATTATTGTCAAAGTGATTATGTATTCTGCAGAACATTTGTAATTGTTGATGTTTTTTATTGTGTGGCAAAATCCTTTCATATTATTTAAATATTTGGTATTTTTTCAGGAAGATTTTTAAAATAAGAGGTTGTCTTCATTTTTTATTTTGGTGTTGGTGGACTTGACTTGACGGTCTGGCATATGTTATTTTGTCAAGGAACTTCTTAAAATATTTAGATTCTGTCAGAACCTTTTTTTCCTGTCATTGTTGGTGTTGGTGTATAATCAAATGATGTCACCGTTTTTATTCTCCGTTTAATTTTTTGTAGTTTGTATAAGATAATTTAATTAAACAATAAGTGGCTCCAAATTCTAGTCAATTAAATGAAGTTCATACCAACGTCATAATATTAACAAACTATATTATAATTGTCATATCTCATTTAAATGTTAAAGCTAAGAATCCTTTATTTTCTGGGTGATGAGTGCCAGTGAGACTGTCCCTATTCTGATAAATACAAGTGGCTCAGAACCTGAAACACACGGGGCCTTGTCAATAGTTTGTAGTGATAGTGAGGACGTTCCATTAGTCCCAGAAGTAGTGTTTGAATCTACATTGGATTCACCAGGATTTAGAGAATCACAGCCTTTATTGGGAGGGCTTGATGTCTCTTATAATCAGTTCCCAGGTAAGCAAGTGCATATAATATATCATATCTGTATAATAATTGTTTCTTTGTTTCTTGAAATTGTTTTTAAGATACATATTTGTAAATAGCAAGTACCTATATATTGTTATACTCTAATTTTGTTTTAATGATGGTTTATATAATACTTTTAGATGATCCCGCATTTAGTGACTTGGTATGGCAAGCTGAAGTGGCTATTGATCATGGAATATTTCCTGAACGAATATCACAAGGTTCTAGTGGATCATATTTTGTTAAAAACCAGTCTGGGGTAAGTTTTTAGATTATCTAAAATGTTGTAGTGCAGTAGTTTTGGTGTACTATTGATTAATAAGTACTAACTGAACAGAATTAATTTAAAATACATGATTAGTCAGTCATTTTTAAAACTAAAAATAATTTTTATCTGATAGATTACTGACCTTTATTATATTTGTTTAAACAAACAGCAAAATGTTGGAAGGATATTTATTTCTTAAATTTGAAATTTATGATTTAATAAGAAATAATAACAGTTTATTTATAAAAACATAGTATTATTTATACTTATAAAATCTAGCAGTATAATATTTACCTTATTTTATGCTATGATAAATCAGATTCATTGGAAGTTTCATTATGGTTTAATTTAATATTATTATTTATAACAGAGCTACAGGCCCTTGGCTACTATTGGCCCGATTATCCCATTGATTCTATCTTTTTTACTATTCTCTTCTGTTCCTCTCCATTTCCTGCTTTTTGCTTCCAACTTTCTGCTTCCACTCTTCTTAAGTCAGCTGTCACCATTCCAATCCTTTTCTTTGTTGATTTTTTAAGATTTATTTACAAAAATTATGTAGTCAGCATCACTAGGCAGACTCTTCTCAGAAGAGTCTGCCTAGTGATGAAAAATATAAAGGGAAGTAGCAAAGAGGTACCCTTGTTGTGAATACTGGTTCTGTCTCAAACCCCATCAGGGCTCCATAGGTGAACATTCAGCATAGTAAGGGAAGGTGGCCTTTCCAAAATATCTAGTCAATTTGATAGAATGTGTATCGAAGGGTTACAAAGTAAGGTGAGAGTTGGACAATGATACTCAGATACATTTAAAATAAAGAATGGAAACAGGAGGTTTCACTTTCACCAATTAAAAACCAACTACAGTATTCCATCTATTCTTTGTTTCACGTTAAGAAAATAACATTACGCTTATGGAGATCAGTGTTGCCAACACTCTCAGACACTCTCTTTTGCACGGATGTCCAAGATATTCCCTTTGCTTAATTTTTGAATTTTCATTTTCAATTAATATTTAACTGTAAAGTCAGAATAACTACTAAATAAAAGTCTTATTATCATTATGTAGTCAGAGACGACATAAAATAGCTGACATACGCACATCGTATTATTTTAAGTTGCAATTAGTAATTAGATATACGCATTCCAAGCGGTCAATATTTTCTACTGATTTATATGATTCATGGCATATCGTATTCTCACCGAAAAACAAATAAACTGTCATTACTATAATTAAAATAAGATAAAATAAAATTATCTTTTGTAAATACTATTTATCTAATTAAAATCATTTTCCCTACTTTTCATATCTTGTTTCGAATGGGCACTTTTGGTCAATTACGTTAAAAAACATTAATTTAATTCATGTTTGTGGAAACGAAAATACAAATTATACAAACCTAAATTGTGCTTGTGTGTGTCGTGGCAACGCCGTGTTGCTATCGTCCATAAGAAATACATGGCCCTATCTTCGCAATGTTATTTTCTAAACGTGAAACGTAGTATAGAAGGACCAAACTATGAAGTGACTATGGTCAGGCAGAGAAGGTGGGGCTCCTAATCAATGAAAACAAAGCTAAATATATGCATAGGAGCTACAATAACTGAAACAGACATAGAATCATTACCATTACCATCAACTTTTACTTTGAGCACTTCAGAGAATTTAAGTATCTGGGAACAACAATCACTGAAGACAATAACGGATCATAAGAAATAACCAATAGAATACCAGACAGCAACAGATGTCTTTATGCCTTCATAATCTTATGAAATTTAAAAAGATAACAAGACATACAGCAATACAACTATACAAAATAAAATAAATCATATGACCTGTAGTGATGTATAGTAGTGACACATGGATGATAATAAAGGCAAATAAAGTGTGACTACATGTTTGAGAAAGAAAAATCCTATGGAAGATCTTTAGGCCTGTGCTTGATGAAGCAGCAGGACAATATAGGATAAAAACTTACAAAGAGCTTGAAGAACTATATCCAGACACCAACATAATAAAAGAAATAAAGTTTAGAAGACTCCAGTTGGCAGAACAGACACCTCAGAAGACATTCTGGCGAAAGAATAGTAAGGCTGGTATAGGGATAAGCCCCAACTGGAAGAAGACGAAGTAAGTAAGGAGTATAACCTTTTTAGGGTTTGTTGCATCTTTGGTTGCCTTTGGTCAGCTCTGTCCGGGAGATGGCTGCTGATTTGATTTCAGAGTGAAGTGATGGATCCATGTTTCATCCATTGTGACCTGCTGTCCAAAAAGCTTATTAATTCATTGTTTTTTATCTGGTGCGAGAAAATGCTGCACCCATCTGGAACACAGCTTTCCCATACCAAATGTCCATGTAACTATCTCTTGCAACATCTCTTTGTGATCTTCCGTAATAAGTTTCAGCATTTTTTCGATGTTTTTGGGATTAACTGCATCATTTGGCCTTCCACAGTGCTCAGTAACACTGGTGTCAGTATGACCACATTTGAATTTAGCAAACTGTCATTTAATGGTTGTAATCGATAGAGCAGAGTCCTGGTAACACTTTTTAAGATATTCAGACATTCATTTTTAAGACTCAGTTTGGACAGTTTTTTTTCCTATCAAATATTAGTGATAAATCAATACTTGGAATTGCTTTGAAACCATTGTTTATAAAAAAAACCAAAACTGGTGTCACTTCAAGCACTGTCACTCAGTAAATAATAATCTGAATGTCATGAACTTTTGACAATATCCTTTTGAAGGTTACGACTATAGAAATTCCATATGAAACATTCAAGAGAGTTGTTATCTCATGTTTAGGCCATGACTTACTGACTGATGTATTAATTTATTCTTTATGTTTGACTCATTTTATAGTGTCAGTAGTTCAATTGTGAGCTTTTCTATGTGGCAGCTGATGATTACAATGTTGTGTTTCATGTACTATGTGCTGCTTTTACTTGTTCAAAAATGGATATACTGCTAAGAAACATGCTAAAGTAATTGCTCTTAATGAACATACCACTATTACTGTGAGAGATATAGCTACAGCTGTTGGTGTTGGAAAATAATGTGTTTCAAGAATTTCAAGAACATTTCAAAATTCCAGATCATTGTCTCCAAAAAGAAAAGAAAACTATGGGTGGAAACGGAAAACAACTCCAAGAACTGATACAATTCTAACAAGAAATAGGAAACTAAATCCAAAAAAGACAAGCACAGACCTTCGAAGGGATTTATTGGATTATGGTATTGTAGTGAGTACCTCAAATGTATAGAAAAGGCTTCTGGACCTTGCCTAAAATACAAGAAAAGTGAAGGAAACACAATTTATAACACAGAAAATGATGAAAAATGCTTAGCATGGACCAAAAAATACTGATCATGAACTTTTGATGACTGGAAAGTGTTTTTCAGTGATAAATCATATTTATTTGTGCAGTCTAATAATATCACAAGGTTGATCCATTTAAGAAAGTTGAGAAATTTTTAAGTTTGCGTTTTGAATCTGTTTGTTGTATATTAAATATTATTCTATCCACAAAATGTTAAAATTTCATTACTATATAGACATAAATAGACAATATTGAAAAAATTTGTATGAAACAAAAAGTTTGCAATTTTATTATTTATAAAAATACAGGATGTCAAATCAGATACAAATATAATTTATTAATATAAATAAGTAAGTAATATAAACATAAATATAAATATTAAAATTACATTACTTTTTATATTAAAATATTAAAAAACTTTCAAAACATTACATAGAATAAAATACACTACAAGTATTTAAAATTCAAGAAACTCACATAAGCTGTAAAAGTTATGACATAGTAAAATTTTTTTTATTTTTGATTTAAAATGAGCAAAGCTGCTTAATTGTAAATTCATATCTACACCCAATATGTCAATGAGCTTGGTAAAACATTTCATTCCAATATAGCC